TCAGAGAACAGTTTCGACAGGCAAACTTGGAATCGTGATTTCGCACGTGTCCCTCAAATATTTTATCCTCGTTAATTCAGTTTGGCTTGAGATTTGAAAGATAATTTTAAAAAGTTTTTGATCGAATTTTCCATTTATCTTACAATTTTTAGGATTTAGGATTTAAAAATTGGAATCGCCAATTTGGTAAGAATATTGTGTATTTTGAGTAGGTTTTTGAATTGAAAATTGAATTTATAATTTTAATTTAGGATTTTCGAATCGTCGATTTAATTTAAAAAAAAATAGCGATTTGATTAAGTTTGAAAGAGTTTTGAGTAAATGATAGCAGGTTTTTATAAATAAAATTTTGAATTTATCTTATAATGTTGACTTGAGATTTAAAAATTAGCATAAAATATTTAATTCTTCGAGTGCAATAAAGTTTGTGGCTTAAAAGCGCCATTTCAAGGCAATCCAATTATTCTATTCTACAAATTTGAATGACGTTGAAAATATATTTATATTAAATATTGATAATTCTAAGAGATAATTCTAGAGATATCTCTCTTGTTTTTTCAACGAATTCCCTAATGTTTGAACGAGCAATTTTTCACCATAAATGAAATTATTATTATCATCGGAGAATTAAAAAAAAGAATTTCGATCGTTCTATTTTAATATTTCAAAGGTTAAATTCCATTTTTCCTATTTTTTAATGAACCCCAGTTTGAACGAGTAAATATATTTTTTTTCTTCTTTTTTTTTTTTTTTCACCATATAATTCCGCATACAGTGGGGAGAAAAGGAAGGAAACAGGCGGAATTACGGAAGTTTTCTCGGTGCTCATTGATTAAAGGACCGAAGAGGCCGAAGAGAAAAGAGGCTGCGTTTCCAAGACTTTCCTTTTTGTTTAAATATTTATGCCTCGTCTTTTTCATATTGTTTCCCCGCGTTTTTTATGAATTTCAACTGAAACGTCTGATTAATTAAACTGTCTCCCTCTTCGTCTTACCACCCTCCTCCTTTGACGTTCAACGACAAACAGCATGGATTTTTAAATTAAGACAAGATACTCTATTGGGAATAAAAATTAAGTTACAATCTCTTTTCCACGAATACGCGATCCTTCTCTTTTCTTTTTTCCTTTTCTTTCTTTTTTTTTTTGTTTTTTTTTCTTTTTAATCAGGAAAGACCAAGTTAAACATTTAGAGAATTACCTGTCAAACGCACAATGTCTCTGTGATTGTTTCGTTATATACTTTTAACCGAGTCGCGCCTGCGAACTCTTTATATTTCATTTCTGTCAGATTTTCGCGCAAAATCGATATTTTAATTTTTAGTATGGATAATTTAATTAATTTGTTTCCTTTCCCTTTAAAATTAATTCTAACGACGAATAAAGAGATTAGAAATAAGGTGATTTCATTTTTATTCTTCTCGGATAAGAATAAGAGAATATAAATGGATGTTTATCTTGCGAATCTTCGATCTGAGAACGTTTCTTCGTTTCATTTCCGTAGAATAATACACTTATATCATTCTCTTGAACTTTTCCAAACAAAAAAAATATTCCCTTATTTTCAAAATTCCTCCATCTCTCAATTTCCATATCAACAAATGCTGCTAAATATTTAGCAAGACTGGCTGAGAATAAAATCGAATCGACACCCAAAATTGCTGTCCACCATTTTTAAGGAAGATGGAATATCGTATGATATTAATTTTTCGTTCTTTGATTTCCGTTCCGTTCGATCAGTTTATCAGATCAGGAAGGAATCTTTTCTTATTATTTTTAAAATATTCAATTATTCAAAGCTTATTTCAAGGAAAATTAAAATACAACAAGTTGTATGTTTCCTCCACGATAATTTCTTCGCCGATGAATTTTTACAAGCGCAATCAGGGAGGAAGAGGAAACAAAATTAATCGTACACATCCCCACCCAACTCGAGTCTCACTCGTTTAAATTCCAAACAAGACGGACACCGACGGCTGCCAATGGCGCGGCACCCTCTTTCGGCGTTTCAATCTCCCTCAAAGTCTCCTCTCGAGTCAGCCCCCCCCCCCTCCCGCTCTCTCGAGGAGGAAACTCTCTCTCTCGATAAAGAGGCGCCTGTGTCGCGCTATTCGTCGACTAATCGACCATCACGAATAATAAACGGCATCTTTGACGATCTTGGCGTGGAGGAGCGTGGCTTGAATCAACATCATCAGACGCGGGCAGATCGGATGTAATTGCACAGGCTTACGATTTAATGGTCCACTCGACACTCGGACAAATCGCTTCGACTTCTCCTCCTCCTGTCTCTGATAAAAATCTCCAAGGATTGTAGGATCTTTGTGCTGCGCCCGTATCGATGGAGATTGCTTTCGAAATAAGTGTCAAGGATTGTTAGATTTGTTAGAAACGTTAGGACGGATATAATACCGGTGTTAATTTTTCATCGATTAAAAAAAGTCTCTGTAAACAATACACGAAAATGAGAATGGGAAAATAATGGAATGTTTCGATCGAAAAATTAAATTAATACCGCGTTCAAAGATTTTCTTTGGTATATTTGGAATTTATTAAAGTTTTCGTCGAAATTCGAAAATTGATAATCGTGTTCCAAAATTTTCGAGAAAAATGTAATAATTTAAAATAAAACAATTGGGGATCTCGAAAACAGGAGAAGTCGAATATTTTCTTTGATGGATTGTAAATTTCAAAATTTTCGAAAAATCTCGAAATTCGCTGACGGATTCGTTCCTTGGAACAATTCAACAAGAATTTAATAAGAGGAAAAGGAAATGGCGATGATCAAGCTTTCTAACCGGGGTCAAATCGATGGGGCTGGCTCGTGAAAATTGAGAATACAATTTGTAAGCGGTTCCAGGATGAATATTAAGTCGATTCGATGCGATTCACCCTCTTGCTTGCCTCGATGCATTAGAATAATCACGGCTTCTCGCAGATCGGATTTCAGATTACAACATTTCGACTTCCCGATCATCGAGAGACGACGATTCGTCGTCGATCGCGAGGAATTATATTAAGATGATTACAGATATAATACGTTGGCTCGTTAATATTTATTTGAAATCGTTGTTGAGATTAGATCGATAATACGCGTGATTGAACGTGCTGCTCGAATCAGTCGAGCTAAAATCGAAATTGTTTCACCGATTCGATCCAAGATTAAATAACCAACGCAGGAATTTAACGCTATCGCGTATAATATAACGAATAAAATTGTCTCAAAGAGAAATTTGATATTTCATCGATTCGAATGTGTATTTAACACGCGATATTACCATAAAAAACATATATAAATTAATTAGAATATCGCTATTGTATTTATAAATACTTGGGAAAATTTGAATTTTTTGCTGGAAATATTTTTGGAGTTCAACAGTTATCCTTCAACTCTGTATATAAACTTATAAGTTTTTTTTATAAGTTTTTGTAATTTACAATCTACTCTCCATACCATCGTAAACGCGATAACAATAATTTTATAATTAATTTTCTTGTCGAAAAGAATAAAAAAAAAAAAAAAAGAAAAAAACACAACTAATATCGATCCTCGTCCAAAAATTCGAGAACCCACCATTATTCGAATATTCCGTAAGAAATATCCGTAATGGAATAACCGAGAATGTCCACGAGAGATCCATCCGATCCGGAGGAGGGAAATTATGGAAAGGAAATAGGGACTTTTTAGCGCGATAATGACTTTCCGGTAAATTAGAATCGATAAGCGGCATCGGTGTACCATTTCTAGATCCCCCGGCTAACGATCTTTTTGCCTGGCCTCCCCCCCCTCGGTCGAAAGGGTGGCAAACATACAGGGCGGCAAAAAAGCTGGATGGAGGTCACCCAGTCAAACCTGACCCCCCCCCTCCTCCTCCTTCCTGCCGCCTCCCCCCTTTTTATCACTTAGACAGGTGGCAAAAATTTCCACATTCGTTTCACGACTTGTGCGGACAATCATTTCCCACGCGCACAGGCCGCGCGATTATTAATGCGAGAAGTTGAAAATAGGGGGAGGGAGGGGGGGGGGGAGGCAAAAATTCCAAATCGCTTCTGGAACGCTTTCCAGAGAACGCTTTTGTCCAAGATTTTTTTAACGGTTAACGACTCTGGTGGTTTGTTTGCTTCAAAAAAATACACCGTGGAAATTCTTAGCTTCCGAGAAAAAAAAAAAGAAAAAAAAAACCCTCCCCTGCAAATTGGGTTACACAAATATTTCCAAAAGCTAGGTAATCCTGCCTCCAGACCTGAAATTGTTCCTTGTCTCTCTCTCTCTCTCTCTCTGTCCTTTCTTTTTTGATTCTTTCATCCGCTCGTGGACGAGTATTTTTTAACTATTTTCAACTAGTTAACCAAGTAACTAGTTTCGATTGAAAATTTTATTTGGAAAATATTAGTGTCAGTTTTTCTTTGATTGATGGTGATTTACGGTGATTTCGTTTATCGAAAGAATTTCTTTTTTTTTCCTATCGATATGTTACGTTTTACGTTAATTATGACAATTTATATACACGATGATTCTTTCGATATTTTCTCTTTCTAGGATTTTTCTTCTTCTAAGAGTCGTCTGGAGGATCGAATCTTTAAGGGAATCGAAGATTTGATTCGTATTGCGATTTAAGAATTCTTTTCTGAGGTATCTTTTTTAGAAATATCGGTAAAAATTTTGCTACCAATATTTGAAAATTGCCACAAGAAGAAACATTCCTCCGTAAAATTCTTTCCTTTCTTGGAATTATTTACTTTTCTTTCTCGAAGAAAAAAAAAAAAAAAAAGAAAATCGTTCGAACGAATTTGTTCTGGCACGAATTCTTCGATTTCACAAAGACGGTGCAGGAATGAATTTTATTAGATTCTTTATGACGCACTTGGTGGCAATGAGCCGATCGTAAAACGGCGCATTAGCGGGGGAATTAAAGTGATTTATTAATCCTTGTCGTTGCTCGATATTTAACCGGCCCGTCAATTAAATCTCTCGTTGTAAATATCTCGTGGTTGAACTTACGTGTTAGAGAAATTGGTCGTGGCAGCCGTACTCGCCGATACCTGAAACACGAGAACGAATTTCTCATCATTATTCTCGACCCGTTTGATCATTTTACGTTTTATTATTATTAAAAAAAAATATATATATATATATATATTTTTCATTTATCAAAAGTGAACGGAAAACGGGGCGAATAGACGTTCATTCTACGTTTATGAGAAATACAGAAGAAATGAAACGAATGAAACGTGGTATTATATTGTGATGTTTGGAGAACGAATCGAATTATTTATTATTTAAATTCCATTTCCATAATTAGGAATTTAATTGGTCCGATGAATTTGCATAAACGTCTGCAAAGTAGAAGCAATATTAAAATAATTATTATATAGCATTAAATATTTTAATAATATTAAATATCGTGTAAATATTCGGTGACTTTAATGCCTCGTATTAATTTAATTTACGAGCGAAACACGTGGATATTTATAATCTTATCAATCTTCGAAATGTTTTACTAATTTTCTAAAACGTTCGAACAGATCAATTCCTCTCCTTGTCCAAAAAATATTCACCAAAACGATATTCCATTCGATTGAAACGATACCACCTTTTATAGATATATCATATTTTTGCCTCTTCCTTCCCGTATATTCTTATCCTTCGATATATTAAAAACCTTCGGTCATTTCGCCTTAAACATCCCCCGTTTAACAGCTTTTATTCGAAACTTTAAAATTCATGCGCGCCATCAAAGTCCAATAACACTCGAATGTAACTCGCGCATTTCAAAGATAGACTCTTTCGTATTTCTACTTTTATTTTTCCAATTCAACAACCATTGACGAAAAGTCAATGGAAAGATGTTCGAAACGATGTGTAAAAGTATCGATGGACAAGTATCGAAGCGTGGTCTTCCTTGAAAAAAAAAAAAAATAACAATAATAGTAATAAAACAGCGTGTAAAGTCGAAAATTTATGCGCGTATCTTCCTATGAGGAAGATAACACAGATGGAAGAAAATTGTAGGAAAACGTTCGCGCAAAAATGATTCTCGTTCGTTTTACGTGGAGAGACGTATGATCGTGGACTCGTTGTTTGTGGTGTTGGTTTGCGGTTAGAAAAATTATTTTGAAAAATTCAGGGATAACGTTACTGGAATAATTTACGAGGAATTCTGTTTTTATAAGAAGATAAGAAAATAAAAGAATGAATTCGTCCATCTACCGACTGTTATAACGAGTATTATATTTTGGAAATTATATTAGAAATTGTCGAGTATTTGCACATCGATTAGTTGGATCTAAAACTAAATATATTTTGTGTAATTTAACGAGGAAAGTATTTCTTACCGTATTCATTTAAAAGAGAAATATGTAATTTCTTCGAAAATTATAAACGAAAGGATAGAAATCGAAACTCGAGAATCCTCGAGAAGCAAAAAAAAAAACGTTTCTTTCGATGCACAAAAATTCGCCAAAGATTCGTTTCGTCGTGATCCGTGAAAGCATCGCCCGATTTTATAACAGTAAACAGCGCGAGAGAAGAACAACGAAACGTGAAGTTTGATTTGAAAAGAAAAAGAAGAAGAAGAAGAAAAGGTGAAAACAGCCTTCGTCATTGTCCTCCGTCGTTTCATCGTTCTTTATTTATTTATTTTTTTTTTTTTTAATTCCAAGCCGTCGCTTGCGTTTCAGTTAACCGCGCGAGATGGGAACAGGGGTTGGGGAGGGATTCAATGGAGGGAAATCAATTTTGGCGGTTGGCAATTTGCTTTTCAGCCGCGGCGATCGCGTCAGGATAATAGCGACGACTCGAGCGATTGTTTAAGCGGGGATAAGACAAACAACGTGTGCGCAAATTTTCACCACGTCCTTTTCAATATTTTATAACATCGTTTTGTCCCGCCCGAGCACAATCGATGCTTTTTTAATTATTCCATATTCGTTTGTCCAACAGCGGTGAGTAACGCGTTCGATTTTGACTTCGCGATGATCGATCAACTTCGTTTCTTTCTTCTTTCTTTCTTTCTTCTCCAACAATGAGATTGAAAGAATGGATAATGAATAACATTAAGAAGTATTTGTTATTTCGTTATCCTTCTAGTTCTGGATATGATTCCAATCTCGATATTTTATTTAATTATTGTGTAACGTCTGATAAATTGATCGCGATCAATCGATTATTAGATCGTAATTTATAAAAAAATGTTAAGAGGAAAGAAATTCTAATAGAAGAAAAGAATCGTGTTTTGAATCAATTTACAACGCGATAACTTTCAACTTGAACTTCGAAAACGCTTTACGAAAAATAATAAAAAAAAATCGATACGTCTCTTTCATCTCGACGATCTATATATATATATATATATAAGGCAAACGGAAGCAAATTATTATCTTCGTTTCAATCTGGCTGCTCAAGAAATTTCCATTCAAAATCGATACTCTTTTTTATTAATTTTCGAGGAGAAGTTGAAAGTTTAAGCGTTGCGCGAAACTCGATCGACCAATTCGTAAATTTTCTATCCCATCGAGAACGAGAGCGAGAAGTTGGCGGGTGGCAAATCTCGTTTTGCGAAAACTGGCGCATTACCGTTGGGGGAGGAATCTTTTTTTTCCTTTTTTTCTTTTTTCTTTTTTTCCCCCGCGGAAATCCACTTCAGACTCTCGAGCGAACGAGAGGGTCAAAGTGCGCCGACAACGTGTAAGCGCAAATATCTTCTCGAGGGCGGAATATCCAACTGGAATCCTTGAAAAGTTGTCCAAGATATAGGATACTTCCGGTTTATAACGTCTGTCTGAACCGAGTTTCATTTTCTTCTTTTCTAAAATTCAAAACGAATCGACACGACGAATTATTTCTTCTGTCGAGGAACAGGAGGAGGATAATTATTGTTATTCGTAGCAATAATTTCCTGATTTATTTTTCATCGAAAAACGATCGTTCGAGATGAATTAATCGAACGAAAAATAGATAATTGTTGGGGCAAAGCGAGACATGTCGTCGTAATTCGGTCGCCCACAGTTATCTTCCACTCTATCTAATCAGAATCGTCCTTGACCTGCGAACCTCCCCGAGCCACAACATCCTCCCGACTCTTCGACCTATCATCCTTTCCAAAACCATTCCGACCAACATTTCAAATCGTACAGCTTTTCAAAAGTTAAGAAAATTAAGGATTAAATTAAAATAAATTTTCCACGATTTTTTGTCCCTGATCAAATTGAAAATAATGGATTCCTTCTTTTCATCCTATAATTAAGTGTTCCCAGTAACGAAGCCTAATAAATTATTTCTACTATTTCTATTTTCATCTGGCTCATATGTTTGAATTAGAAAAAAGAAAAAAAAAAAAATAAAAGCTTAAAAAATCGAACGAATCAATCAAAATAAATCTCGTCGTCTATCTCGTTTAACCTCACCTCGCCCGACAATTGATCATTCATTTGATCAAGCTCCTTTCTTTTCCAATTTCACGATTTAATTAAATAAATAAATTTATCCACGCGGATCAATCTTAGAATCTTTTCCTAACAATTCAGGATTTAATTTATCTACACGCTGTTGCCCAAATATTGATATTGCATTTTGACCAATCACAAATATTATAAAAGATATAAATTCACGATGATTATTCCGTTTAATATTTTTTAATAATACATACTCATATTAGACGAAATATCTTTTATCATTCATTTAAATTAAATAGAGTCTGAGGAATCGAAATTTTAATTTTACTAATTTCAATAGCAACATTTATAGGATACGTCCTTCCTTAAGGAATGTAAAATATCATGTTGAGAAGCAAATTTATTATCAGCTATTCCCCGACACAGTAGTTCTTTGAATTTGATTCCCAATTAATAATGCAACTTTAAATCGACTTTTTTCCTCTTCATTTTACTTTCCCTCCAGTAAAATTTATTTATAGTAACCTTACATTTATTCGCTCTTCATCTAACAGGCTCGTCTAATCCTTTAGGATCAAACTTTAATAATTATACAATTTCCCAAAACGCTCGATTTCAAAGTAACGATCACATAATATCCTGATCCTTTCAACCATTTCGTTCGTCCCTATACACACACACACACACATATATATATATAATTAATTATATCGATTGATCGGCCTCTATCGAGGTTTCGAAGGAGGAATACGAGACACGGAACGGAACACGGGGCCGTCGTCGCGACACCACGATAGTGCATTATCGTGTACCAAGTCGTGCTTTTGTCCGTCGAGAGATTTGGTTACAAGTACAATCGATCAGAGAGAGAGTCTATCTAATTGCTATAGGTACACCGTAACACCGCGGTGTTAATGACAATGATATTCGATTCGCAAGCTGCTATGAATCGCAACTGAGGTACCCCTCCCTAATTCGCCGTCCCTCCCACCGCGGGAATCTATCAGCCACGGTCCGACGTGAACGGGTGCATTGTGTGGAACAGCAACGCCTCTCGAATGATCATCTCGAAACGTTTTCTAATAATAAGTGGTGGACGCGGTGGACAATGATTGGAATGTGACGTTTCACGGGGATGGAGAGCGAAGAAATTATTTG